TTCGGCATGCTTGCAGGCTGGTGGGCTGCCAAGGAGGACTTCCGCCCCTGGGGTCCGCTGTTGGACGGAAAGGGATGGGAGCGGGTGCTGCGCGATGCTGGCTTTTCCGAGGCCGTCTTGGAGCTCAAGGACTCGGAGAAGGATGAGCTCCACGTGCAGAGCATGGTTGTGGCGACGCGTCCGCCGGACGATGAGGCCACCAGCAAACAACAGCTCGACGAGGACGATGTTCTCCGCCGGGTGTTTGTGATTCCGCACGCCACACCCGAGGACGTGTCGCTGGCTACGTCTGTGGCTTCGGCCGTGTCACAGGTGACCAACCTCGACGTGAGCGTCGTTCATTTCGCCGACCTGGCCCAGCACGAACTGGACAACACATGCTGTATCGTGACGATGGAGGCCACCGCGCCCTTCCTCTCGTCGCCTTTTAACGAGGCCGAATTCGCGCTGCTGCGCCACTTACTGACCAAGGCCGGAGGGCTGCTGTGGCTCACTCTCAACCCGCACGAGAACCCGCACATGGCCATGATACCAGGCCTTCTTCGTACGGTGCGCTGGGAGAGAGACCTGGACGGCTCGGACCTGTTGCTTCTGCACCTGCCCTCTGCCGAGGCCTCGCTCGTTGCCTCCAACGTAGTCAAGGTCTTCAAACATCATTTCGGCGGACCCTTCATGTCACCGGATCGCCATGCCGACTACCTTGTCAACCCAGTCGGCTGTGGTCATGACCATGGTGGCTTCATTCAGACGGCCCGCATCATCGCCGCTCCCCCCGTCAACGACTTCATCGCACAGAGGACCACGGTGCTCCAGCCGAGGCTGGACGCGTTTGGTGCCGATCCGAGCCGAAGCCTGAAGCTCCACACGTCTGGGCCGGGAAACCTGGACAAGCTGCATTTCATCGACTGGCCGGGCGCGCAGAAGCCTCTCGGTGGCAGCGAGGTCCAGGTAGAGATAAGGGCAGCGGGCGTGAATTTCCGCGACGTCATGGTGGCCATGGGCGAGCTGGCGAACAACATTCTCGGCTACGAGGGTGCCGGCGTCGTCACTCATGTCGGCGCCGAGGTGATGGATATCAAGGTCGGCGACCGTGTCATGGTCGTCTGGAACGGCGATAACAACTGCCTCCAGACGCGTACGAGGGCGCCCCGGGACTTTGTGGTCAAGATCCCCGACAACATGTCGTTCGAAGAGGCCGCCAGTATTCCCGTCGTCTTTGTGACGGCCTACTTTTGTCTTTACGAGGTGGCTCGTCTCAAAGTGGGTGAGACCATCCTCGTTCACGCCGCAGCGGGCGGCACAGGTCAGGCTGTGATCCAGCTGGCCAAGCATTTGGGCGCCGAGGTCTATGCGACGGTATCGTCACGCGAGAAGATGCAGCTGCTAATGGACGAGTACGGACTCGCTGAGGACCACATCTTCAGCAGCCGTGACTTATCCTTCGTGAGCGGCATAATGCGAATGACGGATGGCAAGGGTGTTGATGTGATTGTCAACTCCCTCTCGGGCGAGGCGCTGCGTGCCTCCTTTGGCTGTATTGCCATGTTCGGGCGGTTCATCGAGATTGGTAAACGGGACATCATGGCCAACAGCAAAATCGATATGCTCCCCTTCAGCCGATGTGCCACCTTCACGGCGGTCGACCTCTCCCAGATAGCCACCCTGGCGCGGCCGCTGACCTCGCGCATAATGCGCTCCGTCGTCGACCTGCACGCCGCCGGCAAGCTGCATGCCTGCAGACCGCTCAACGTGTATGGTTTTGGCAGGATTGAAGAGGCGTTCCGTATCCTGCAGCAGGGCAAGCACATGGGCAAGGTCATCCTCGCCGCGCATCCCGAGGACCTCGTCAAGGTCGTGCCTAAGCCGCCTGCGCCCACGCGCCTGAGGCCCGACGCAACCTACCTGCTGCCCGGCGGCGCGGGCGGGCTTGGGCGATCCATCGCCAAGTGGATGGCCGGGCCGGCGCAGGGGGCCAAGAACCTGGTGTTCCTCTCCCGCGGCGGCGCCGAGGCCGCGACGACGCGCCAGCTGCTCGCCGAGTTGGCCGACATGGGCGTGCGTGCGACGGCGCTCAAGTGCAACGTGGCCGTCGAAGAACAGCTGGTTGCGGCGCTGGCGGACCTGACACGGTTGGGCTTCCCCCGCGTCGCCGGCGTGATCCAAGGAGCGATGCAGCTCCGCGACTCGGCGTTTGAGTTCATGTCGCACGCGCAGTGGGAAGAGTGCGTGAGCCCCAAGGTGCAAGGCACGTGGAACCTCCACAAGCATCTACCCGCGGACATGGACTTCTTCGTAATGCTGGGCAGCGTGGCAGGGCTTGTTGGCAACCGCGGTCAGTCCAACTACGCGGCGGGCAACACGTTCCAGGATGCGCTTGCGATATACCGGCGCGCCAAGGGGTTGGCGGCGACTTGCATCGACCTGTGCAACGTCATGAGCGTAGGCTTCGTCGCCGAGAACCAGGAGACGCTGAACAAGAACCCGCTCTTCTTCTTTGCGCATGACGGGATCCGCGAGGACGAATTCCTCAGTCTGGTCGAGTTCCACCTCGACGCAGACCGGGCGGAACGCAAGGCCGAGCCCCAGATCGGCGTGGGCCTAGCACCGCTGTCCGTGTTCAAAGAGCGCGGGCTGCCAGAGCCGACGTTCATCAAGTCGCCACTGTTCCGACAGCTACGGTCGGCGAGCGGCGAGTCGGGAGCCACAGCGGACGGCGCATCGGAGCAGGACGGGGTAGTGTCGATGACGTTTGCTCTCAAGTCTGCCAAAAGCCCGGAGGAGGCAGCGGAAATCATCTGTGACGCGCTCGTAAAGAGGATCAGCCGCACGATGCGGATCCCGGAGCCTGATATTGACGTTGGCAAGCCGGTTCACGTCTACGGCGTGGACTCGCTGGTGGCCATGGAGATTCGTAATTACCTTGCCAGCGAGTGCGGGTCTTCCGTTTCCGTCTTGGAGATCATGGGCAACAAGAGCATGGAGGTCTTGAGTGGCGAAATAGCTAGAGGAAGCAAGTATATAAAAGTGGATCTTTAGTATTTAGCAACAAGTCATCTATATCTTGTTGTCTTTACTAAGGGGAGAACATAAAGAGATACAGAAAAAAATAAACAATTGGTTGAGTTCAAGCTTTTCAGAGGGCCAGGATCATAGTGTTAACTGAGATAATGGACAGCCGGCATGGCAAGCTTCTAATGACTCTTAGCAAAAGCTAATTGTTAAGTGATTATAAATAAAGGCTTGTTGAAATGTAGCCCAGTGCTCTCAAGAATCATAATCTTGCGAAAGTCTATTAATCACGGCTACATAAGGCGCTGAAACTGCTTTAAAGCCTGCCACGATTCACTGGGGCTTACAGAAACACCCGGTCATTTTCGGTCTGTTCAAGCGGCACAGCCAAGATGGAAGCTCCGCCACGAAAAGCCGAAGAACTCCGATGTTTATCTGATTAACCATGAAGATAACATTTCTAATAGGCATATCCTGCCGACGCTCAAGTCTCCTGACTTGATTATTTCTGCTGAATGCTGCAATCAATGGATACACGTGCTCCTGCTGCTGGCCACCTTCTGTTGAACCACATGTTGTTAGAACTTAATGACCGGGCTGCTTTAGACGAGAAATAGTCCGGGTGAGTGTTTGAATCACTTACTAAAATATGCCCCATGACGCCGTGTAAATGATGAGAAAAGATGAATCTGTGAGATTCTTGTTGTGGTACAAAGAAAAGTTCAGCAGACCGGCTTCCGGCTACTGTATCTTTTCAAAAGAAGAACGAAAGCCATATTACTGCCCAACGCCAACTACCCCCGCCATTGGAAGGTGAATTTGCTTCTTCCGCTGTTGATAATAGACCGCGAGATGAGTCAAGAGAAATACGGGATGCAGATAACTCTTTGTAGGGGTTCCTTTGGAAAGAAGACGTATCTGAGGAACTTGTGTGAGCAATCTGTGAATATGATATATAGAAAGAAAAGAAGGAAGTTGACCTACACGGAAAATAAGACCGGCTTTTCGCAATGAATTTAACGAACATACTTGTTGTGTGATAGATGCAAATTTCCCCGGAGGAAGATTAAGCTTATACGTCGGAAGAGATTTCTTCTTGTTTGCGTTGAGAGGCGAGTAAACACTTTCCGTGTCCACAAAATGAGCACGACACGGGCAGGGGCCTCGAAGTCGAATCCTTCCTGAAGTTGAGACGGTGTCGGCAAAACGATCCATCTTTCATTGCACTCTCGTGTGTAGGATCTATACTTATTATGATCAAGATATCGGCGCATCCATTTCGATGGCGCATGGATGGCGTCGGACACTTGCGGAAGAGGCAGTGTCAGATAAGCATGGCGGGAAGCTTATTGGTATTTTAAGAAACCCTACTAGACTGGAGACTTTGCCCCTAGTAATGACGATGAATAATTGGTCAATAGTAAGGATTTAACGGAGGTCGAAAGCTGGAAGCTACAATGGTGGTGGAGGTGCATCCTGTGGGATGATTTAAGATCCTGACAGCATTTAGTTCTCACCTGTGGCATTTAGACACTCCGCGAAGGGGCGGAAGTTCGTGTTCATTTGGCGATCTCGCTGAAAGGATCGTCTTAGCGCGCAACGGCTGCAGCAGGCACAGTATTCACCGCCAATCTATACCAGGCAGAAGTTAAACCATCCACAACCGCCCGATTATACACACCTTATCCAACTGTTGGCTAAGAGATCTGCTGAATTTCCAATGCAGATAACGATGAAACATCAAATACAGTTGGCAACCCAATGAGTTGATCTAGGCATAGCCACATAGATGATCAGCTGAGTAATTTTGGACTGCCGAGATGTAGGTACTCTGTAAGTCCCATTTAGATAACTCAAGATTAATAGGCCTTGCTTCTGTGATGCTTCAACTTATTTCTACCTATCAGCCTTCTATCGTCAACAACCGTTTAAACTCCGATCTGTCGGTTTCACTTTCTCTCTTTTACATCTCCGAAAAGCCGATGGCCCATTCAGGTTTCAGTCGGCCTGGCCTTCTCATCGATTCTCTTCCGCCAGTTCGTTCCCCAAAGTGCCACAGCCCATACGCACACGGCGCCAAATATCATGAAACCAGATGAGATCGTGCTGAACCATCCCACGCCAATAGTCTTGATTGCAGGTAATACCACAGCTGAACCCGCAGCACCGAACAAATATCTTACCATGAAGTTTCCCGCGATAACCTCAGCACTTCGGCCTTGGATAACGTCCAAGCAGTACGTGTTTAGACTTGGGAAACAGAAAAGCTGAGCCACCCCACCGAGGAACATAAACACCACGGGGACGGCGATTCCACCCGCTCGCTCCTGGACCGACCACCCGTAGATGAGCATGCAGCCAGGCAACACCGCACCAATAAAAGGAAGACAAGATCGCAGGCGGTCCTCGGATATACGACGACCGTGTCTCTCCGCAATCCATCTCCTGACGGTATAATCAGCGTACCGTCCGCCGACAAGTGTACCCGCGAGATAACCGCATCCGGGAGCCAGATAGAAAAGACCAGACTGTGCCGGGGAGGTAAGCGCAAACCGCGGGTTCAGGACGTATCGAATCGGCGTCAGCATGCCATACATGTTCCACACAAGGGACCCGCTGGCGACAGCCACGAGAATGAGGTTCGGGAACTTGAACAAGCGAATGACGCGCATCGGGTTCGTCATCTCCCACAAGACGCCAATCTTTCTGCCCAACGGGAGACCCTCGAGGTCGTTGCTCTTGAGTTTAGCAAGGGTCTCGGGCATGAAGATGACGGAGCCAAGGACTCCCACTCCAGCAAGCGCTGTCTGTAACCAGAATATGGCGCGCCAGGACGTGTAGGTCACAATGATGCCGCCGAGAACAGGTCCGATGGTGGGGCCGATGAGTGTGCCGGACAGGAACCACCCCATGGCCGTGGCCCGCCCCGTGGGATGGTACAAGTCACCGATGACGGCGGGACCCGTGACGAGGAACGATGTACCGGCGAAACTTGTGAGCATGCGAAACACAAAAAACGCAACGACGTTCGGACTCAGAGCTGTGCCAATCGAGCAGCCCAAAAACAGAGCGGAGGTAACCGTACACGTCTGGATGGTATGTTTAGTCACTTCACCGTTCGCGATAATAGCGGGAGTAATGAAAGAAGGAAGGGGGGACTTTGCTTCATCGCCTTGCTTACCCATTTACGTCCATAGACCTGACTTAGAGGTCCCCAGAAACACGGACTTATTGCCATGAAGACAAGATACAAGGCGTTGCTAAGACTGATGATGCTTCCAGATGTCCTGTACTCCGCTGCAACTTCGGGCAGCGCTGACAGGACGGCAGTACTGGAGATTGGCGACAGAAGGCCGCACCATGAGATTACGGCGACCGTTATACGCTTTCGGTGTCTCGAAAAGCGGTTGTACGCCTCGTATGGCACCTCTGTGCGAGAGTTGACAGGAACATCCTGAAAGCTTAGGACTCCCGACGGAATCTTGGTCAACTCTGGATTATTGGGATCCTCTGTGAATGGGTTAGTCACCCGAAGCAGTCGGCAAAGGCGCGGCTAGTGTGCTTACCCGGGTTCGGGGTTCTGCGGTTCTCGGGAATAATATCCGCATATTCTTCAATGTCTTCATTTCGTCGGTCGGAAGAGGACCTCCTCGAGGAGTCCTCCGGTTCTTGTACACTTTTGTCTGAATTCATCGCGGGCCATTTGATCCGAGCAGTCGACATTCAACTTCAACAACAGAATTACGGAAGAGTTGCAAACATGAAAGGAAACTTGGTTCCGCAGTCGACGGAAATGGAGTCCACTAATATGACACCGACATCCGTGACTAAACCATTACCGTCAGGGGCCGAATCGGCAACGCCCGACTCTTGGCTCCGGACATCGGGCATCATGGTCCTCTCCGAAGGATGCATGGTTGCGGGTGGACGCATAGGACCCTCCGGCTCCGCAGAAATCGAGTCAGTTGCAGACGGCAAGACGGTAACTATCCGATAAATGGGACTCACTGCATTTGAGTGACTGACGAAGGTGTTCTAGAAAGCCAGCATGCATACCTAAGGGCCTGGCTCACACATCACATTCCCCGGCAGCACGCAGTCTACTGGGAAACTGTAAAAGCTAGCTGGGGGCCAACCCCAACGGAGCGCGATGGAGGAAAGGTGCGCAAAAGCACAGCTGACATGATTGTCGGAGGGCCGATCAGAAAACGCGTACTCTCCGACGCCGGACTGAACTTGTAACCGAGCTGGAACTTCTGCCCCATCGAATTGGGCAGCTGCTGCCAGAGACTCAAGTTCCAACGCCTTCGGAACCAGGGTCACTTATCTGTCGGTTATCCGAAAGCAGTGATGGAGATTCGGCTTTGCCAATGGTTAGCCGAGTAAAGTGGGCTGTTTGGTATTGCCAGCGTAAGTCCGGAAGGAGTGACGGCATGATAAAACCAGTGTAACTTGCTCTTCAGCCAAGCCCAAGTCGATGTTGGCATAAGGAAGATGCTCGAACCAGCCGCCATTTGTCCCGCAGAATCTTCAAATAGTGCAACGCGACGAGCAACTGCTTGCCTTGGATATGCTTCTCGGTGATGCTATACAATCAGACCTCCTGGAACAGAAACGACTTGACGAAAATTCCTTTTCAATTCCGGACATGTCGTCAGTTTAACGCAGCTCCAGTGTGACGGGAGTTCAAACTAACATTGGCCGTTGAAAACTCTCGACTCAAAACCCGAGTAGGCGGTCCGTCACAAGACCGAGCACGCCGAGTCAAAGCGTTCGGGCTCAACCTGGTACAGTCCGAGAAGCCCGGCCTTGTCCAACCCTCCGGTCCGGGTGGATTCAACCACCGACCCGGTGACTTGTCGTCAACATCCGGGTCATAATACACGGCCGGAGGCGGGTCAGAACGGGATGGCGTGCTCAACAAGCGAACATAAGACCCATCCAGATGGCCTTCGTGGGCTCTTCGGCAGCGGGCGAGACGGAGTACGCTCGTGCCGACCGGGGCTGCGCACAAGCTCCGCCTTAGGCTGAGTTGTCCGGCCGGGATAAGATTCCGGAATCATCCCCTGGATGGAACTTTTCCCAAGTGTGAATATTCAATTCAAAGTGCAATTTTGTCAGAGCTGCGGCTCAGCATTGATGAAGCTCCACACAGGTAGATGAATGCCTGCTGCCTAGACGTTCCACTGGTCAATGACTGGCATTAATTCAAGATGAGCACAACCAACATCAACCGCTCATGCATGAGAGCCTCTGCCATCAAGGGTTCGATTGAAACCGCCCAGACCGGGGAAGTACGCAGACCTATCGAACCACGCACGATCTATGGCGAGGCTTTCTGTCCTTCAACGATGCTGGGCGCCTGGTGGTTCCAAATTTGCCTCTTTTGGCCGACCGAGCCAATAGCGCCATTTCGACTTGCATGAGGGGATCTGCCGTCAGCCCCTTGGCGAAGTCCCCACGTGCTCGATCGACTGGCGTTCATTGATTCTTGAAATACAGCTTCATTCTATCAACTTGATGACCGTCCCGGACTGATCTCTTGAGAAGTCGATGCTTTCCTTCTCTCTGCATATGATGTTTTGTTTTTCTATTGGCGAACTGCGACTCAGCTGTCCCGAATGTTCGGTCCCAATGCACAAGGCCGTTTATTAATTTGAACTACTCCATCGCCACGTTGCGTCAGGGCTGAAGCGACCTTCCGTGCGAGGTAGACGCCCGCGGGGCTGCTTGCAACCACCCCCACCTTGACTGAGTCGTCCAACCTCACAGTGTTCAACATAACCGAGGCAGTCTAAGGTCACAATCATGGCCGTCGACGTTGAAGAGCTGATTATCACGCCGTTTCGGGAGGTTGTGGAAAGGGCGAGGGAAGCCATCGCCAATGCTGAGGCTGCACAAGATGATAACCCAGACCTATCCAAGGAGATGATGAAGTCTGCCCAAGTCATTTCAAAAGAAGGAGAGAGGGCATTGAAGCGCCTGCAGCCGCTATGGGACAGCCAGGTTGAAAAGCACGGTGATTCGTTCAAGGATATGATCAGCGAAAACGGTGAGTGCTAACCACGTGTCGAAGAGACACTGCAAGACCCAGCTAATTTAGGAAAGATGACCTTTCAGAAAAGCGAAGAGTAATGGAAGGGCTCTTGTACGATTTCGAAGACTTTATTGAGGCAGACACCTTTGAGGCATCCAAGTTCGCGGAGCTCCAGGCCGCTACGAGGTCATTTGCTTTGGACCTGTTGGACATCATCAAAAGAATGAAGATCGAAACCAAGACGCCAACGAGTCCGGTACATGCGTTCCCGCCTCTTCCTCCTTTACCACCTTTACCTCCCAATCTTCAAACATCAAAGTTGATCACCCAACCGAGCGTTGCGCCTCCCTCCCGTAGCGGAAGCCAAGGCAACGTCAACTTCTCACTATTTCCTGCCGCTGGTCGCCAGCAAAAGCCGCAAACGTTGCATAGGAGTGGTACAAGAGGTTCGCACGGCTCGTCGGACAGCACAAATCTTCGTCGAACCCCGTCATCGGCCAAGTCTGTAGCGTCTGATGCGAGATCGTCTCGTCACATTTACGAGGCCACGTTGGCACATGTTGTGCCTGCTCGCCGGGAAGAGCGGCGAGCTTCGACCCCTGATGTTCTTGGCGATGAAGGGGAGCAACTCAAAATCTCCTCGCCAGTCGAGCCACCGCAACACTGGACTTCCGAATGGGTTGAAGAGCAAACTTCGGCGCCCAAAACTCGACGCCCGGTTCGAGAGAGCATCCCGGAGAACTCGGCCGTGACAAATCATGTACCTCCCGACAGTGGTTTGGTCAGCCGTTTCAGTCGCCTCGGCCTTGAGAATCCTACACCACAAAGCTCGGTTTTCGACCCAACCAGCCCCTCAACGACAAATAGAACATCAGTCTATTCAGAGTCTCCGGCCCACTCGTCCTCCAACGGTCCGTCTCCAAGGATGCCGACGAGTGAGGTACGAACAACAACACTTACGGCGTTCCAATTCGAGCCCACGCCACCCCTTCCGCCACCTGGGCACTTCAGCGATGGCTTGATGCTAGCTGACGAGCAAACGGTGTCCGACACCAGCACTCAGCATTTGAGAACAGCATCGTCAGTGAGTAAGGAGGAAGAGTGTCTGATAGGCCCAAAGAGCTCATTCCATCAGGCAAAAGGCTTTTGCGACGGTGCTCAAGCCTTTCGACGCGGTGGCTACTGGGACGGCCTCAAGCAGACGATGGCATATGTGAGCGGCACTTCGAATCAAACTCCGTGGTTCGGCGCAGCATCGTCCCTCGACATGGTAACGCTGATGGAAAACCAGGGCGAACCGCTCCCAATTGGGCGTTGCCTGCATTGCGAGTATTATCATGTCTACAACGAACTCACACTAGATAAGGAAGGTGATTGTAAGTGTTCTTTTTCTTGGCGTTACTCACTAGAGTTGGCACTGACAGCAAGACAGCTCGAGCGAACTTCTTGAAGTTCGGACTGCTGTACCGCATGAGATTTCTGATCAAGTCACATATTCCTGCCAAAACGACATCGGAGATTCGCTATGCTTGTTTGTTTTGCACCCATACTGGCCACACGGTTCACGAAGGGGATGCCACGGTGTTCCTCACCGCCGATCAGCTACTCAGACATCTCTCCCGACATCCACAGCCCTTGCCAGAAGTCCCCGGCGTGACAGTTCTCTATGGCAAAGTCGACAGAGACCACCACCAAATCGAAGATTACGATGTTCACTTTCCGTCACCACCGGCACCGAGCCCCTTTCCCGATGCGGACTCACTTTTCCAGCTCCCCACTGCTGTGGCTCTGAAAAGTCATGTCCAGCGCTGGGGAGAGGTTTTGGCAGACCCTGATGGCAGTGCGGACGTTCTGAAGTTCATGGCTGGCGCGAAGATAGTTGGGATCGAGTTTCCTGGCAAATGGGGCGGCAAGTGGTGTACAGGTTGGCATGACGGCGTTAAAGGACCTTTTCCTGCGAAGTACGTCGAGATCGAAGGTCCGAAACAAAACGAAATCTCGTTACAGACAACGAGCGCAGTATCTCTGACAACCAGGTGGAAATGGGATCCCCCAGATAGCGCCCGGACAGGGTGGCTCACATTCGGCAAGAACGAAACCATCAAGAATGTCGGGTGTAGGTCCCCTTTCCGCTCAAGTCGGGAAGCCGAATCGTAACTGATTGTGTCACTGCAGGGCTATATCAAGATCACTGGTGTTGGTCGGGCACCAACAGCAAGGGAAAATTCGGCATATTTCCACAGTCGCACGTCAACCCGCACTCCCTAAGGGAGGGTGCGATTGCTTCCAGTACAAAGCGGCCTCAAGCTAGCGGTCCCTTGAGACTTTTCAGCCGTAGACGGCCGAGTAGTATAGCATCTTCGCTTAGTGGGGATACTTGAGTAATGATAGTTGGATGATACTGTATTGAATATGATCGAAGCATTGGATCGTCGTGGACGTACAGTTACCAACAAAATCACGTCTTAACTGCGGTGTATTGACTAACCTCGAATGGAAACGTTGATTTATGCGAATGGCAATGTCCGCAGCATAGAAGTGGGCTTGGATTAGCAGCTGCGTTCTGTAATCAGTACCAAAAATCACATTCTAGTGTAACAACGACTTGCAAGTTGAACATTTCACCACGTCCTATCAGGTGTTTCCAGGTAACCAAGGTATGTCTTGACCGCAAGCAGGATTTGCTCCTGATGACAGGTAGTTTTTGAGACCAGAAAGAAGATTAAGTCTCTCAACTTCTACGACGTCTTGTTATGCAAGCAAGGAAGGGTTGTTCAACAGTTGGTAACTGTTGGTTAATTTCTTGAATCGATTCGAAATGTCGTCTTACTTCAGCCTGCACTTGTAACAGTTAACACTCATTCAATCTAGCCCCGAACACCAAAATAGATTTAATATTATCTCTTCTCCAACCTTCTCATTTTCAAGTGCCTTCGTATACCTGTTGACCCTGGCAGTTCCCTCGGATCGATTCTCTCAATGATGTGTTCAAACCTCTGACATCCATGTCGACCGGCTACTTGCTGCCAGGCTTCTGAAACCTCCTTATTCCGTATGAAGCTAATTTGCCATGTCGCGGCCACCGTAAGCTTCGCTGTGTCCCGGTTGGTCTCGTACCGGAGGAAGAACCTCAAGCGTTCACCAGAAAAAGTGTGGACACCAGGACTCCATACTTCCATGAGCTCCAAGTGCGGCAAGAACATGGTCGCTCGACTTGCCACGAAAAGTAGATCGTCTACCCTTGTCCGATTTCCCAAGAGCTCTTGGACTTGACAAGTCAGTGCTAGTCTTTTGAGCACCGGCGGTGATGAAGTGTCAACGCCTTGTTTTGCCTTGGCTTGCTCACAAAAGCATTGTAGAAAGTTCATTGCGTCGATTGCATGTGATATCGACAATAACTCGAGCTTGAAGCTTGCAGCAACTGCTGCTGAAATCAATGAATTATTTTCGGCTTTCTTCGAATAATACCTGCGTCCATGTAGCCCTTCTGATTGTGCCTCCCATAAGGCTATGGAACGTAATCCGGAGGATGCACTTGCGCATTGCAACAAGGCTGTATTTGCAGCATCGCGCTGAAGTTGACCTTCCTCATCAACACCGCGCCAAGGGACGTAGGTGATTTGTTGAAGAAAAGGGAGTTTGCCGATTATGGAGGTTACGGTAGCAGGTGAGAGGCTTCGTAGTTGCTTTGAACCATCGATGACAAACTCATTGACGACGACAAGCTGTTGAAGTTCCGATACATCAAGTGAAAATTCTAGAAGGCCCCCGATCAATCGCTTCTTAGCGTTCAATATTGAGTGTTCAGGGGACTGAATCGCGACTTCGTGTTTGTGTTTTATGAGAGGCGTTTTGAGATGGTATTGGTCAGTCGGTGAGCTAGCTCTCAGCCCAAGTACAATGCCGCGTGGGGAGCACTCTTTTGTCCAACTAGAGATTGCAGAGAAGAGAAGTTTCAGGCTGTGAGAGAACGCCATGTTGTTCTCAGCCACAGTCTGCGCGCCCTCTTCTTGGCCGCATTGCTGGCAATTATACTCTTGTAAGTCGACATGGAGTATGATATTTTCAATGATCCTTCTTCGACGACCAATAGCCCATCGCTTGAAATTGCTGATATCAGGTTCCGCACCTGAATGAAGGGTTATTGTATGCCAGACGAACGGTGCGAACAAGGAATGCCATTCTTTCGAAACGCTAGCCCAGCGGGAGAGAGGGTTTACCCCAGCGGTGGAAACCGATTCCAATAACTCTTCCACAATCACCAGTCCAAGTTCTAGTGGGAGTTCGTTCCACGGAAACGCTGTTGCGGTTTGGGATGCCATCGTCCTGAGTAAGTGTGGATATGAGAGAGGCGTTCGAGGAATGCGGTGTTTTGAGGTGAGAGTAACGTCCGATCTATCTTGAGGCTCAGGGGGAAAAGCGCAATTTATACATCTCTTTTGTAGAAACACGAAGAGACTTCAATTTAGAGTTGCGCTTGGTTCATATGCCGTGGAAGTGAGTTCGTGCTTCCACTGGAAAATCAATAGCATCAATTCATTACAGAACCGCGAACTTTGGACTGCTTTAGGTTTGCGCCCAAGGAACACCCGAATTCACTTTGATGGATAACACGCCTCTTCTGAATGAGGTCAAAACCTGGATGAACGTTGATGTGCACTTGCCGGACAACGATTAGCAAGTGGGCAGGGGCGTCCTATCTCACGTAGATAGTCGGCAGTGAAAAAGTCGGAACTACATCTGTGTATCATCGCGCAGCACTCTGCGGTCATTGTTTATGGTCGAATACTTAGATAGTGATTACAAATAGAGGGTAATCATAGAGGTAGTGAGGAAGAGCAAGGAAAGTAACAGAGGTAGCGAGGAGTAGTCACAGGAAAATAATGAACGCTGAGGAGTGATGTATTAAAGTTCGATGCAATAATTACATCGCGTCATGTGTGGAAAGTTATTCCTCAAGGTGTTGTTGCACGATATGCGACTTTCCCCCCGTTCTTTTGTGTGATTTGAAGCTTTTTGGAAAGTACCTTGATAATGGACGACAGAGAAAAAAGCTATCAAGAAGAAAGTCAAAGCACAGACAATGCTCCCCCGTGCCGCCGAGCGGCGCGGCGGATATCAATCACACCCGACCAACTCCGAGGCCCGTCGATCATCATTACAGATGAAAAGCTCTTGAAAAATTCGGAGTTGGCGGGTGCTAGATAAGCAAGTGCTCCATATCTTTCAGCCTTACCGCCTCTACTCGTATCGCACAACAGACTTCATCGGACAAACGGTAGCATTTCGGCTACAGACCCAACTGACATGAAAGCTTGAGGAACGTACCGCAAACGCAAAGTTCAATAGATAAGTCGTGATCACGGCACACTCATGTGCCGATCGTACTTTGGATTTTCTTTTTCGAATTGACCAGACCCTTTCGTCTTCTCGTATTGATCGCGATCTGCATTCACTTTTTCCCCAGATACACCGACGCGGCAACGCGGTTGTGGTCGCCTCGCTTGTTGGGGTGCCACGACTGATTGGCATCATCCCAGCAGAAAACCCGGTTGTTAATCCCAATTGGGCATGTCAACAAACGCCATGACAGCAGGTTAAGGCGGGCGTTCAGGGGAACTGCAGGGTTATGCCGCATAACAGTCTCGAATTGGGTGCCTTCATTCAGCGCCTTATCCATAATTACGAGTTTACCAATGACTTTTGACAATTGGGTTAAGCGGCATGGGTCCGCTCATCTCCGCGAGTGAACCACACACCCTGGACACTAAATCCGACGGGATGGACACTTCCGCGCGCAGGTTTGCCGAATCGCGATGGCATTCTCACATGAATTCGAGACTTCGTTCGAGGCGCGAGTAGATGGAGGGAGTCCAGTAGCAACGCTTCAAAATTATTCTATAAACCTGATTAAGCTCAAGCCAGAGCGACGCCAGACTTCCCATCCGGTTTTTATGTGGTATAACCCTCTATATCCCATCCCAGTGCGCTTCGCCAGTGATCGCTACCTGTCTCATTCGTAGCCGTGCGGTGTTGGTATCATATCGGTCAGAAATCACTCTTTAAAAACAAGATTGCAAAAGCAGTCCGCTTAGAAGAGCATGTAGGCGGCAAGGGCGACGGAGCCGAAGATGGCGAAGGTGGACTTGACGGCGGAGGCGCTGCTGGGAGCAGAGGTGGAAGTGCCAGAGGCGGCAGAGCCAGTGGCGGTGCCGGAAGCGGTGCCTGAAGCCGAAGCGTCAGTTCCGGAGGCGGAGGCAGTGGCAGTACCAGTGGTAACAGTGGTCAGGCCGGAGGCGGTCTTGGTCACCGAGGCGGTGGCCGCAGAGCCAGTGGCCGAGCCGGAGGAAGACGCACCGGTGGCAGAGGCAGAGGCAGAGCCGGAAGCGCTCGCGGAGCCGGAGGCGGTGGCAGAGGCGGAGGCAGTCTTGTCGTCGGAGGAGTCTGAACAGAAATCATCAGTACCATTTCTGTCGCGAGCTAGTGATGTTCTCGCAAAGTGTTTGACTTACCGTCAGAGGTGAGGCTGAACTCCTGGGACTGGGCCAGAATGCCCTGGTTCTGGGGGTCCTTGGAGACGAAGTTGATGCGGTAGGCATCACCAGCGCTGACCTTGGCGCCCTTCAGCTCGTACTTGCCATCGGCGGAGTTGACAGTGGCGATGGTCTCCTCGGTCGCGGGGTAGGCGGACTGGTTGATGATGACGATCTCGAAGCTCTTGGGGTCGGTCGAGACGGTGTCCCAAGTGATCTCGTTGGTCTTGGAGAGATCCCACTCGTCACCCTTGGCGGGCTTGGTGACCTTGATAGCCTCAGCGGCGGCAAGGAGGGTGGTGATAGCAACAGCGGTCTTGGAGAACATCTTGTCGGTGGTTGTTGGAAATTAAGTAAAAGAAGTGTTTTTTTGGTTTTTGTAGTTTTTGGATTATTAGAATAAGTACGAGTCTTGAGCGAGTGACTAGAACGAACGTTCAAAATTGGTGAATCGAGAAAGAGTTGATTGAACGAGCAAGAACAACAGCAACACCAAGCTTCGCGCTTCAAGCTTTATAAACAGGCCATGTGCAGATGACCCCGGTCGATACTTTGGACGAGTCAGGCCTGATGTCCGCACCAGCGCCGCCCCCCTTACGACCCCCACCGCCCCATCTCGTATGGAAAACCGACCTTCAGAGAATTTTAGATTGCTGTTGAGCATGAACTGCGAGCCCGTCGTTTGATTCGGTTCACTGTGACGTCGGCTATTCCCTGCCATAGGGCGCGCGAAGGATGATTCTTCCCTCCACCAAACCTCGTAACGATGGATTTATCGGCCGGTATTGCCGAAGCGGCTACAGTTGGTGCCACCAATGAAGTCGAGTGACTGTTGAAGAGAACAAAACTTGGAGTGGAAACACGATCTCTGCCACAACACAATTGGCCTTAAGAGAGCAGAATCCGGGGTTCCTCGGCACGCGAGATTGAGTCACCCAATCAGGGCTGGGTCATTTGCATCTTATCCCATTCACAAATCTACGGAATGATATGCCAAGGACTAGCAATGTTCGAAGTGCAGATGGCAGTCTAAAATAAGTAGCTGCCTAGTACAGAATTGGTGTCAGCGGTACCTTACATATGCCCGCCAGGCAAAAGTTCCCACCTCAAGCGATCTGATGTGGTAATAGCAACGGGGTCGCCTCGCCGGGCTCTCCAGACTCCCCGCCGCGATGCAGGCATTGAGGCAATGAAGCTCTTTCAAAATCTTCCGACTCACGCCAGACCAGACGGACTTCTCCCGCACACTGACTTCATGGATGCTTAGCCAGCAGTAAGGGGACTATAGTGCCTGTGGCCATTCCGCATGAGACAATGCCTCCAGCTCCTGTCAATCTCGCCTCTGTCTCGGTGCTGCCATTCATGACCCGGCCGAGTACCCTCGGCCCAGCAAAGGGGCAGCCCGATGAGAGCCTCCGGTTCCCGTGGGATTTTTTGCCCCTTCAAACGACGATCAGTGGCAACGGTCCCTAGTCGTTCTGAGAACAGACCGCGAGCTTGTCAATTTGTTAATCCGAGTTGACGCCCAACAACAGTCGGCTTTGCCTTTTCAGTGGGCACCGCCAAGCTGGCTCAAGAGTTCCGACAGCGGAACTCCCTTCCAGAAGTTCGCCTCATGAAGACTTGGCATATCAGATCATTCCCTTCGCCAGAACCAATTATGACGGAGAATCCCTCTGTTCCGGAGTACCTGCTTGCCTCGGTGGGATTCCGGCTTTTGTGTGCACTATCGCGCAGACTTGATTTGGCAGTCGACGTCGCGTCGACGCGCTTCAGATCCCTGCAGTCGTGTGTAGGGCATGGACCGGCAGGTCTCCGGCCCGGTGGCGGCATTCGGAAGTTAGCGGGATGGAGCCGTCAGGCATCACCAGCTGCATCAAATTGACATCTCTCTGGTCTTACTTACACTGTTTAACAGCCTCACACAGAGACTTCAAAAGACGGTAAGTGAAAGCGCCAGTTTCCGTCGGGCACATTGGCGCAGACATTAGCGGACTTATTCTCTTCAAGCAAGTTCTAAGTTGCTTACAGGCCGACTGCAGTACTGTTTCTGTTTGGCCGCTCTTGATGGCCTACAGTTTTATCTCACATTTTCATCCAACAGCGGTCGTCAACATGAGCCAATCATTTCAGTCAGGCATTTTAAAATGACTGAAAAGCACACAAGTCTTGAGAAAGAGGTCCTCGTGCCGGGAAATGACTCTACCATATTAATGGAACTACATTGACTTGTATGCTGAGCCGCCACGACAACATGATTCGTGACTATTGTCAAATCGGAAGTTGAAGAGATGAAATATCAACACTCGTCTGATTTTAACTGGACGGACTCGATAATGATTGACGAAATGTTCAAATATGTTGCTAACTGCACTCAGAACTAGACGGGCTCTTGTATCAAGTGGCGTTCATAGATAAGGCTGTCTATCAAACCATTGACAATAAACACAGCTAGGCAGCGAAGACCTACAGGATTGAATCTGGAGAGTTCTCACTAAGAGCAATCCAACAACGCCGACTCGATGATTGGTGAATGCATACTTGGTAGAACTATCCGTAGTTGTTTCTTTTCTAAGTACGGGCTTGCCCAGGAGTTGCACAGCAGTCGACAGACTTGGTAATGAAACCTTGATCCTGAACGAGAAGAATCTCAGATATTCCTTGATCGTTGTTGATAACCTATCAAACTGAATAAGCTATGCATTGTAAGCAAAGTTTCCATTTAGTTGATAGTTATCAAGTTTACTCTTCGTCCCAGCCCAATAAAGAAGCCTGAGAGTTCTGAGCAACAGAAGATGAGTACGGTGACTGTCCGGATGTTTCATGGAAATAACCTTTCCTATGGCGCTGAAAAATCATTAAGACCGCGTATCATAGCCAACCATTTCATGCCATCTGCTGTAACACACCGTCAAGCTCAAATCAAAAATTCAATATATCGCAGTGAGGTCTTGCCGCGGCATGGTTTTGTGTTAAACGATGCATCTCAATACCTATGAGTGGGAACAGGTGCCCAGCTCTGAATGAGCTTTACGGCAATTTACCAACGGTTCTTTAACATCTCAAACCCTACAGGCTTTTATCGTGGCAGGATGACATCTTTTGAATCTGAATACATGCCGCTCATACGAATTGTAACCACCAGCTGCGAGTATTATTAACAGCTGAAGTCTCCTTTGCTTTCATCTAAGCCAGAGTGAGTTCGTCGTGAGATTCCCAATAACGTGCATCAACCCCAGACTCATGATTCATGGCCATCAATGACCTCATCATCCCATTGAAAGAATCCTCCAATGACTGCACTCAACATGAACTGAATAAAAGAGTCAGTACCCCGGAGAAAATGTACAGTCTGCAGTTTCGGTTCTTCGTCAACTCAAACTTGTAAGTAAACTTGTATAAGTAGAAGCTGAGAGTGGCAGCTCTGAACCGGCTGTTCCGCTTTCAGCCTGGCGCCTGAAGTGAAGTCTCAAAAGCCGTCCTTCCGATGACCCTCCAAGTACTGCAATGTTTTGCAGGGTGCAGACGAAATAAACGTAGCAAACTATTCGTTAATCGAGATTTTAGCTTAGTCTTTTATATCCATGGTTTCTCCAGAAAGTTGAACGGGAAGATTATCAACCAGTCATATTTGAGTGCTACGAAACTCATACTGGATGCTAGTGCCATCTGCCTTCCACGACATGGATATTTTATATGAATCTTGAAAGCGTATCTAATAGCATATCGGAAGCAGATTTCGGTCAGCTCTAGCTAGTAAAGATGCCCGAACTCGCTTGCTGATCAGGATCTAGTTCAATCCCACGGCCCGCCAAGGTGCACAAAACAACCATCATCAAAACCCAGATACGACCGCATCAAGTAATCAAGATTGATAGAATATGCAGCCATAGATCAAGCCCCGCTCATTTTCACAATGCATATGTACAATCATGTGAAAGGTTGCAACGGGCAAACCCCTCAAACTCCACCACATGTGCAGAGCCGGAGCGTTCGGGCGTTTGTGCTACCTGCAGCTGCTGTCTGCGCCACGACTGTGCTTCCGTGGGTCGAACATTTAAGCTTATTATTGGGATTCTGTGTCGATCCAAGTCTTGGGAAGCGCGGGGAACTTGCATGTTACCCCTTCATTCTAAGTTCAGGGCGGACTCACAGCTGCCAAGCCCTCTGCTTCTCACCGCGGATGACATAAATAAGTCATCTGCAGCACATCATGAATTAGATATAAGATGGTTTCCAATAGTCTTTAAAGGTACATGTAGCTGTGAATGAGACTGTTATGTCGCTGAGTATCTTGTGGCAACTTTAGTGAGCAAACTTGTCGTCTTCAATACTTCCATACACATTAAAAGGTACGCGATCAGCAAGCACGTGAAACATTGCGAAATGGCCGCTGGTTATACTGAAATGCCAATTGAGGCCTTCATAGATAGGACTCTGATGCGCACTGAACTTAAATAGCAAGCGAAAGGTTCTTGTTACTAAATCCTTCACACAAGCCTCACATTCATATCGTGATCACGCGTAATACGAGTGGTACTATACTGTTGGCAGAAACTTCTTTATTGTTTGCATTTAGACGTCCAAAAGTGCTTTTCTGGGCTTCTTCGCCCTGAAAAGCATTGTGTTCCCAATCACCCATGTCTCAACTTCCTCAAATTCCTGGTCCAGCGCTTCCCTGATGTCCTCCTCATTGTCGTCCCAGTTGTTGAAAACGCCCCACCACTTGTTGTACCAACGGAGGTAGAACTTGGTCAGAAAGCCAGTCGACTCCCTGGGGCCCAGCACAGTACAGCCAGAGAGAACGCCATCCTCGCTCAGCAGTTCCTTGTATGTTCCAAAGGCGCGAAGTTTTCCCTTACCACCGGGCATGCAGTGGAATAAGTTGAACATGGAGATGGAGTCATAACGTTCACCCAAGAGCGCCTTGGGTGGCGGCTCCGTGACGTCGGCCTCGACGCAATTGACTTCAGTTGCCGACGTCACGGACAGGACACGGGTCTTCGTTGCATTCAACGGGGGAGCCGTCAAGTCCACGAGCGTAAGACGTTGCTTGCTGTTGGTGCGGAACGGCCGGGCCAGCGCAACGGCGGGGAAGTAGCCGGTGGCGACACCAACATCGAGATGGTTGCGCGAGAAGTTCTCGCTGAAGAAGGGGAGGAGGATGTCATCCGTGGGACATCCCCACATGTACCTCATGTTGAAACCGAGGACATATTTGTCATAGAAGAGGGTGAGAAATGATGGTGAATAGACGGTCTTGTAGTTTGTGTTAGTCATCGTGGGCGACGACTGAGAGTGAGAGCCTGAATGAAATGGGCGGGGATATGGAATAACGTAGTTCGGCTGAACTTCCCACGGTCTAGGTATTTGTTCTGCGAAGAGAGGAAATCTTCAGATCTCCCGGGAGGTGGGCGATTATCACCTTGCCGGCGGCACGATACCGAGGGTGCCTTTGAGCTCATGATCAGTACATGTTGGTGTACGTGGCCCTGGTATATGCGCTGGAGTGGATTGCGGCCAGCCCTCTGCTTTTGGCATATGCATGGTTTCAAACACTTGTTGGCGCTAAGAGAGTTGGTTGAAGCTCTTCCCTCATGGGGCCCAATTGACCTTATCAATTGGACGAGGGGATTGTAAATGCCTCAATGGCCCCATCCCGAATGGCATCCATTGATGCACGTAGGATAGACTGCATGCATATTCTTCAGCAAACTGACCTATGATCATTGGAGGGTTGTGTGGAAATGGCTTCACCAAGACTGATGTTGATCTGCAAAGTATACGCTGATGGATACCTCCAAACGCACTGTACGATACCTTCGTAAACATGCAGGGTGCTTCATCCAACGAGTATGCAAACGTGGTTTACAATTGCTGCAATATTTGATTGTCTATTGATAATAAGAAGCCCGAAATTATCTTCGCTTACTCTTTGCAAGCGCCGTGTGGGGGTATTCCGACCAATCCTTTGTAAAAGCAAACGAATCTCCCATGTTCTGTGCTAACCCTGCGAACTCAGGTTGGAAGCCGACATCGACGCCTTAGCCGACAAGGACCGTGATGAGCTTGCCAGGGAAGCCGAGGACGATGCACCGCTGCGCGGCTTGCGGCAGTAGACTGTGAGCCTGAGCCGGCGACAACGTATTAATGAGAGATGCGCAAACAGGTTTGCAGACGGGGAGCTTCGCTTACAAGGTCATGAACGAATGGTAGTTTGTGTCTCCAATCTCGTCACGGACGTCTTTCAACAACGTGTGGACTTGGCTCTCGGACCAGCCGAGGCCGATTGTGAAAACCGGGACACTGAGTGGTTCAATGATGGCATTCCAGTTCTTGGTCATCATTGCACCGAATCTTTGAGACTTTTTGCCCGGATAGCACGCGTTCGTCGGCGCCGCATGCTTGGTTATCTTCATCCTCTCGAAGCCAGTCTTCTCTAAGATTGACTGGTAATGGTTGGGATAGTGTAATGAACGTCCCATGTTCTGCAGACCTTGACGAAGGAGCAGGTTCCATTTATGGAATGCAGTGCCTTCCAACGAGCGGTTTGGGGACTGGAGAATTGCGATCCATTCGGTAAACTCGACCCAGCCCCCTGGATTTAAGTGGTTGTAGATGGACTGAATGAGGTGTTCCTTCTCCGAGACATCACCAAGCATTCGGACGTGGATGTAATCGAACTGTCTGTTGAGGTTCCAAATGCTCGTCGCATCCATCACTCGGAACGAGCAGTTGGACACCGTATATGGCGGGCGCACCTTCTCAATGTCAATCCCCAGGACGGCGCAGTTGGGGTTCTTCTTGGCTGAAATGGCGGTGGGGTTAGCGCGGATCGTATCACAAGGCCTCGAAGGCGAGCAGGGGGAACTTGCCGTATTCCTGGGTGAAAGTTAGTCTGATGTTCGTGATGTGTACGTGCATGAGTGGAATGTTGGTGACGAGAAGATGTACATACTAGTGCCCATAGCCCTGGTCCTGTGCCAACATCAAGCGCTGCCCTTGCCTTGACGACCGGGGCAAGGTGGAGTCTACCGTCGAATAGTTCTGCAATGATGTGGTGTTGAAGTACTGTTGGGAGTTATGATATGTTCATGTTGGACAAGGCAAGCAAGGGGGGGGGGGGGGGGGGGGGGGGTTTTTAAAAACCATTATTTATTTTTACTACAA